CGGCGGCGATAATCTTGACCGTCTTGCTGTGCTTGCGGATGCCGGCGCGCAATGCCCGTAATGGTGCCGCCCGTGCCGGCGCCGGCGACGACGGCCGTCAGGTTGCCGCCGGTCTGCGCCCAGATCTCCTCGGCAGTGCCCAACTCGTGCGCGAGGGGGTTGTCGACGTTGGGTTACTGGTCGAGGATGTGGGCGTTGGGGATCTCCTTCTGGAGGCGGCGGGGCGACGCCAATGTGCGACTCGGGGGCGTCCCAAGGCAGCCTGGGTCGGGGTGCGGATGATGGTTGGCACCGAGCGCCTTGAGGACGGACACCCTTCTCGGCCGACATCTTCTCGGGCAGGGATGATGATGGTCTTGTAGCCCTTGATGGCGCCGACGAGGGCCAGGCCGATGCCCGTGTTGCCGCTCGTGGGCTCGATGAGGGTGTCGCCAGGCTTGATGCGGCCGCTCTTCTCGGCCTCCTCAATCATGCGCAGGGCTATCCTGTCCTTGACACTGCCGCCCGTGTTGAAGAGCTCGACCTTGGCGTAGACGTCGCACTCGAGGCCGAGGCTCTGGGGGATCTTGTTGAGGCGAACGAGGGGCGTGTTGCCGATCAGCTCGGTGGCAGACTGCGCCGTGACGGCAACGCGTGCCGCGGGAACAGCCTTGACGTCAGCCATGTTCGTGTGAGAGATTTCCGAATGTGTGACAGATGTTAGCTTGAGGGGACAAAGTAGAAGATCAAGACCAGAAGTGTAAAGTCCAAAGTCGGGTTTGAAGGAAAGGTGGGTTGATGTAAGGGAAGGGTCCAAGGCGGGGCACAGTCGCCTGTAGCGGGCTCGTGGCGGGCCATGGCGAATCCCGTCACGTCACCTCACGCGGTTCATGCAGACAAGACGCAAATTTGCTTCAAAGCCGAAAGCCGCTGATCTGAGGATGAGGATGAGGATGAGGATACCCCGCCAAAGCCGCCAGTACCCGCGGTGCTGTGGTGTGCCGTAGCATCTGCTAGTCTACCCTGATGCCTGATGGGTGGGTTGCAAATCATGGCAGACATGAAGGTCTGTCGAAAGAAGTCCGCCGTAGAAGTCCGCCGTAGAAGCCTGTGAGTGCTGATACTTTCTGCCGTGTACCGAAAGAAGCCCGCCGTACTCAAGCTCACGACCCCCGCCGTGACCTAGAGGCCGCGGCCCTTGCGCAAGATGGGCTTCGCCGCCAGCTGCTCGCGGGTCTGCCTGGCGAGGCAGATGTGGCCGTTCTCTGGGTGGAGATGGCGTTGATCTTATACGTGGCGAAGGGAGTCGTCTCGTCGCGTCATTGGCGCGTCGGAGGACTGGTCGATGGCGGCTGCAATGTGTTGATGCTGCGGGTCCATGGCTGAGGCAGCACGGTGCACGAGCGACGAGGGATGCTCGCGAGAGTTCTTGGGGTTGCACGGCGCAGCATCGTGAGGACTGCGGATTTCCCAGTCGAAGGGGCAATGGAATGGGAAGGAAGCCATGGTGAGGCGAGGTCCCTCTCCAACATCGTCTGCCTGCCTCTGCCGAGATGAGGTGCCCTGTCCATGGCTTAGGTAAGACGAGCAGCTTTCCCGATGCCGGACGTCTTTGTCAACTAGATACCTCAAAGGTATCAACGGATGATGCCTCGGTATCGAATCCATTCCACTGAGAAAGGCATCACGGCATGCCTTGCCGTCATTCATGGTGCTCTTTACAGTTATCCTGACCCATGCTCTGTCTCTGTCCATCTTGATCCATAGCCCCCCGAAGCTTAGCATCTCCTCACGAGCAGCGAATATGAAGCACTCAGATGTAGAATCGTCATGAATTCTCCGTCTAAACATAAAGGTATCTCTTGCTCAAAAACATCAACGTCTGTCACAGCACGCCCACAGCCTACTGCTTCCCGCCCGCCTTCTCCGTCATCTCGCCCTCGCTCACCGGCGGCGTCACGTCGCCCGCCATGTGCCTGCCCTGCACGACAACCTCGGCGCCGCCCCTGCCGCGACGCCCGAGGCCCATGAGGTCGCGGAACATGGACTTGGACGTGCGGGCAATGGTGCGGCGCGACTCGAACAGCGGCAGGAACACGACGATGCCCGACGACACAAACAGCCACAGGATGCCGACGACGACCCAGCCGGTGAAGAACTTGCGGCTGAAGACGTACGCCGTGCCGAAGAGGGGCATCGGCCAGAGCACGAGGAACGCGAGCGTCAGCCCGACGCAGAGCCAGCGCGCAAACTTGGCCGACTTGTCGAGCTTGGCCCGCTCCTCCTCGGCGGCCGCCGCCGCGGCCGCCGCGTTCTCGACGGCGTGCTCGTGGGGCGCCGTCTCGGCGTCGAGCGCCTCGTCCTCCTCGTCGCTGCCCTGGCGAATGTTGAGCATCGACTGCCAGTCGTAGTGTTGGGGCTTAAACGGCGGCATGTAGGTCAGCAACGGGATGAAGACGAGGGGCGAGAGGAGGGCAATGACGTTGCCGACGAGCATGGGCGTGTTGGCGCCCGACGTCGCCACCGTGATCTCGCCCGAGGTGACCTGCGTCGTGACGAGCCAGCCGACGAGCGAGCAGATGAGGCCGAGGATTGGCGAAAATGTGGCGGCCGCCCACGACTGGCCGTCCCAGAGGAGAGTGAGTGTCGCGGGGATGACGGCCGACGAGATGATGACGCCCATGAGGACGTAGAGGTAGCCCATGGAGATGCCAATGTAGTAGAGGGCCGTGGAGAAGGCGCCCATGAAGAGAGCAAAGACGGTCATGCCGATGTAGTTCATGCGCATAATCTGCTTGCCAGTGGCCGCAGGGTTGATGTACGTCTTGTAAATGTCGTACGAATAGATGGACGAGATGGCGATCAGCTCGGACGAATACGTGCTCATGATAGCCATGAAGGCGAGCAGCAGTGTGGCGATGGCACCGCCCTTTCCGAGCAGAGCAACGGCGGCGCTGGGAAGGACGAGGCCGGCGGTGACCTCGGCGTCGGTGAGGCGGTTGGGGTAGGTGGGCCAGACGTCGTAGCGCTCGAGCGCGAGACCGGCGAGACCCATGGTGGTGGCTGTCAGCCAGGGGACCGCAAACCAGCTGAGGCCGCTGAAAGATTGTTAGTAAAGCCCTGCTCACGAATGAATTGACGAGCGGAGACCTACCCCATAACGTAGCCGGGAAGAGCGTCAACAGGCGAAGCAGAGATGGCCTTGTTGTAGTAACCGTTGTCAAGGAAGACGGTGCCAAAGTTGCCGACAATGTTGATGACGAAGAACTCAGCGCCACCCTGTGAGCGCATGGTCAGGTAGCTGCCGCCGGCGTTGCCGCTGATGGGTCGCTCCTTGGAGATCTCCTGCAGAATGTCCCACACGGCACCGGGCGAACCCAGGATGCCGTTGGTCGCGTACACGACGAACGCAAAGATGAAGATGCTAACCAGGATGACGAGCGCGTTGACGTAGTCGGTGATGAAGGTGGCCTTGATACCGCCGAAAAGCGTGTACACAACGACACCGAGGGGGAAGATGAAGACGGTGGCAGCAGTCGGGGCCCCCGTCAGGTTCTCAATGACGGCAGCACCGCCCGTCAGCAGCATGGCCGTGACGAGAATGTTGGTGAAGCAGCAGAAGGCGATAAAGACAAAGTGGGTAACAGGTCCATAGCGGGCTCGGACGACTTCGAGGAAGGTGTGCGCGTTGGGCGCCTTGCGCTTGAGTTCGATGGCGAGAGTCGCAAACAGGATGATCTGGACGGTGGCACCGGCGGCGTACCAAAAGGGACCGGAGACACCACTGACAGCATGTCAGCTTCGGACAAGGCACACAAAGACTATGGGAAAACTCACTATCGGTAGGCGACACCAGAACTTTGCAGCAGGGTTGCTGCCCATGTCCAGGTGGACAAGACGGACGAAGCAACGAGACCAGACTTGAGGGTACGGCCAGCCGTCGTGAACATTTCAGAAGTTTGACGCTCAGAGTTGTAGCGCTTGAGAGACCAGGTAATGACAATCATGAAGCCGGCAAAAAGGACACTGAGGCCGACGATCAGGCCGTAGCTAGAAAATGTCAATTTCAGAACTCAGCAGTGGCCATGCCGGGTGAGTGGGAAGCGAGCATACCCTACGCCCTGGTGAAGGATCGGACTCGACATGGCTGCGCACGAGGCGAGCTCAAGCTCGGTGCTTTTCGAGTAGAGTTGTTAGAGGTGTGCGAATACCACGACCAACAAAGATCAGGCCAGATGGAACACCGTCGTCGCAAAATTTCCGAAGTACAGGCTCGGTGTCGAGATGGATATACTACTGATAAAGTGCCCCATCTCAACTCCGTCGACGGACATCTGGGCGATATATATTCTCTTCATATCTCGTAGCTAGAGAAAATCAGAGTCGGCCGGCGGCGCATTGCTTCTGGTGGAACACGGCCCCCCAGACGGCGCCGATTGATCTGGTACGGCTTGGTCATTGGCTGACGACGCTGCTCCGAGCCCGGAAAAAGCTGGTAATTACCACGAGGATGGGCAGGACAGACGGCTGGGAGGACAAGGGCCTTTCGGCGTCGCGCCTGGCGTGGCTGTCCTGACGAGGAAGGGATTTTCTCAGATAAGGTCATTCAATGGGATAAATAACGTGGTAGGCTCGTGGGGAGGCCAGGGTCCGGAAACAAGCCTTGGGCCTCGTCTGGGTGTCTGCCCCTCCTGCACCTTGGTCAGGCCTAGAGCGGCTGCAGACGCATAGCTGGAGGCCAGACACGAGAGAAGCAGAGGGAGACGATCGCCCTTCCTTCACATTTGGTGCCATTGGCACAGGCAGGGCGAGGGCGGTCCAGCTCACGCCACCTAGCGTGGAGCGAAACCGGTGCCGGAGAGCGGGCATGCGAGATCGATGCGGCGTGGTGTGTCGTTCGGTGATGGTAATGGCGATGACAAGGTGCTCCGCGCCCGGCGGGCATACAGTCGATGAGCATAAGTGTCGAAGGCTCCTGATTCGACAACAGCGACCCCTGACCCAGGGCGCCCGCAGAAAAGACGCGATGCTGGGACAGTCGTTCATTGTGGACCCGAGGTCAATCGACGGCAGAGATGATAGCAGCGCCAAGAGCGGCTACGGCGTTTGTGATAGGCCCTATGCAGAACTGCCAAGATGTTCGATTGGGAGAGGAGCCGTAGTCTTATCATGATCCAATCAACGGTTTTCTTGGAGTTTGTGCCTGTGGACGCATCACGTCAGTCTCCCCGACCTGATATCTGGGGGGAGCACTCGAATTGGAATGGGACTGACTGTGCTCCTCCTTTGAAGCGTAGCCGCCATTGGAAGATGCATTTGTATGAGTCTCATCGCCGTGTCAAGTTCTTTGGGTGGCTTTTGATGAACGGAAGATCTCGGGCAACGAGGTGAAGGAGAGGAGTTCTGATGGTTCAGGGCATCTGGGCATCTGACAGGACAGAGCATACAAATTGTCAATTCGATTCCTCACAGCCGGAAGTGGGTTTTTCCAGTGTGGGGCTCTCCCATGTTAGTCAGCATCCCCCACGATCTTCAACCCCCTGCCATCTCTAAGTGTCAAGTCTGCCGAGCCTTCTCGCTCGACCTCCATCAAACAAGGTCTCACCAGACATGCGTCGACATGGTCTGTCGTAATCTTCGGCACATGTGCGCGGCGTGAAACACGTCTACCCATCCTGCAGGAGACAGCTAGGGTGCACTTTAGATACCGTGGCCGCCGGCGCCTTGGCAACATGGCGCTTGAGCCCTACCACAAGCTCATTCTCATCAACCCGACACCCATCAGTAGCAACCCAACAGCTGGCCCAGCTTGGCATCTCGCGACTCTTGCCCCCAGCCATCTTACACGCAATGTACTTACATGTTGGAGACGCCTCATCCCCCGCAGTCCCACGCTGCCGGCGCCTCAATCACATAAGTCTCATCTTGTCCTGCCGTGCAAGTCTAGCCCTACCAGCCGTCCCCCAACTACATGTATTAAGCTCAAAGTGGTATTTCGTACCTCGTGCCCTGCAGCCCGAAATACCGTTCAGAATGCCAAGAAGAGCTGAAAATGTTCAAGCTGGCGACCCCCATACAATCCACATCCCCACCCATTACCTGCTTCGCGCCCGCCGGCCACACGTCGATCCGGCCCGTCGGGGCCACGATGGAACTGGCATACATGTTGGAAAGCACTTCGGTCGTTGGAGACTGGTCGCTGATGAAAAAGAAGAAGATGGCTTACACAACGTGCCATGCCCGAAGTTTTGAATTGCATGCTGGTACGGGCCAAGCCCATGAATAATCCGGGTCTGAGGCCGGTACCTTTATTATGATGTTTCTCGTTCAGATCTGCTCGTCGAAATTCGCAGAGGTCTAGCGTCTTTACCGACGCCCGTGTCCTCGCCGGCGTATGTTTTGAGGTGTCTTTTCCGCCCTGCTCTGTTCCGCATGATACTGTCTACGCATCCACAATGCTGCAGTACCAAAACTCCCTGAGCCCTGCATTTTTGCCCCACGACCATCGCTAGCCATGTCGCATCGCTTATGTTGCAGAATAATAAAGTCCATTCTGCTACTGGCTTATTGTCGCTGGCAAGTGAGCAATGACCGATGCAATCGACCTTGGATGGATTTCCTGCGGTCATGGCACACTCCAACTGCAATAGGAAGCTTCCGAGGAGTTTTTTGGGCTTTGGTATGGGGATCAACTGCGACTTGATAAACTGCAAAGCTGGTGTGTGGCGGTGATCTACCTTCGTTACCGGGCACATCGGCATGATTCTTCAAAATTCTCACAACGATAGGTCACAATGCCCAATTTTGATCTGAAGCGATATTTGCTTCAAATGAAATCTATCATATCATATTCTACTGACAGCAAGCTTGTCCACGGTGCCTTCTTACATGCAAGCGGCACCGTCAATGCCGAGGACCTTGCCGTTGATCCAGGCGCCGTCCTGCGAAGCGAGGAAGCAAACAACGCGAGCGATGTCGATGGGCAGACCGACACGGTGAACTGGGGACCAGCCGGCGGCGTATTCGTCGACTTCGTCATCGGAAAGGGTGGCTCCGCCGGGGATGTATTCACGACAGACGGCGTGGTACATGTCTGTCTTGATGCCACCAGGCGCGACGGCGTTGACGGTGATCTTCTTGTCGCCAAAATCTACCCGAGTCAGTATCTGCTGAGTACACTTGAAAAGATGCACGAATGGATAAAAGGCGGGCACAGCAGGAACCTACCGATGGCCATGCAGCGGACAAATGTCTCGATAGTACCCTTGGAGCCCGAGTAGACGGCGTGTTTCGGCACGGCCTTGGCCTGGCCGGTGATGGAGCCCATGAGAATGAGGCGCCCACCCTCTTCGAGGTGCTTGTACGCCTCGCGGGCAACGAAGAACTGGCCTCGCGTGTTGATGTTGAAGACGCGGTCGAATTCCTCAGGCGTGACGTCCTTGACGTGCCCGAAAGAGACGACGCCGCTGTTTGAGCAGACAATGTCGAGCTTACCCCAGGTCTTCACACCTTGCTCGAAAAGGGAGACGATCTCATCCACAACAGAGACGTTGGCCTTGATCGCGACGGCATCGGAGCCTGACTTCTTGATGGCTTGTACGACCTCCTCGGCTGACTCTGAGGAGTTGGCGTAGTTCACGATGACTTTGGCGCCGCGACGACCGAGCTCCATTGCCATTTCGCGCCCTATTCCACGACCTACTTCATGTCAGGGGGTTTTTTCATTGAGCTTGGCGAAGGCTAGAGGCCTTACCGGCACCAGTGACTAGGGCGACCTTGCCCTCCAGCGAGGCGGAGGCCAGTCCCAGGGGTCCTGGGATGCGGTTGTAGAAACCGGGCTCGACGGCAGAGGTGGCGCCAGGCATCTTTACGGTAAAAGGGGTATTGTCGTAGAGTTGCGTGTGGTGAAGTCCTGCAATGGTGGTGCTGATGCGTCAAGGTGGTGAGAGAGGATGAGATTGCCGAATGTGATGAGCGTTGATGAAGCACCCAGGGAGCCGTACGCCATGAATTAAGTATCGATTCACCAAGTCGTTGTCAACCCAAGCACAGTCAAGATGCTCGGATGCCCGTGGAAAGGCCCGCGGACCCGAATGCAGGTCCACATGCGGGCTTACCGGACGTCCGTGAAACCACGACGCCGGGTGAAGTATGAGTCGCACGGCGCAACTGAGCAGCCAGCTCAACAGGTACATTGACGCCAGACTGCCCATCGCGCAGAGTGACAAAGTAAAAATTGGCCAATGGCGGCCGCGTATTGAATGTCCGGTAACATTTTGTGAGGCGGACATCGTCATGTCGAGATGTCGATGCTTCCTTGTTGGGCCTTGAGCTGTGCCGTTGAGAAAATCAACGGCGCCACCGCGCCATCGTTAAACTTGGAACATTGACATAGCCGTCTTTCTTTCTCTAAATTAGCTGCTCTCTTGGTCGCAGAGCAATCGTGCCCTTTGCATAATCAAGCCTGTAGGTCCTTCGGGAACGGCCCCGACACGGGGCTCCGCACGCTTACCGGCCGGAAATGTCTATGGAGAAACGTAGCATGGACGGCTGCACCGCCAATTGTTCCCGCTGTACAATCATGTGCGGCCATCCCAGTTGAATCTTCCGGTCAGATTCCGGCATATTTTGGTAGACATGCTGCCTCAACTGTCGAGCTTGCCGGGCTGTACCATTCGGTTAAAACAGTTCTCGGGGCCAAAGCCCAACGAGGCGCGACGCGAAGTTCAGCTTGGAGCTGGTCCAGGTGGTCGCAAAGCGGGCCAACAGCCTGCCACCCAGTTGGCGTTCTCGGCGGCATGAGCTGCTGAGCCGCTTGGCTGGATCATGGCTTTCGGCCGAGATTGTGTGACTTCAGCTGCATCCTGGTCATGTGCAATGGCTGTCGTTGGCGATATTATGTAGATTGTTGGGCGATTTGGTGAGCATTCGTTTTGACCTTGTCGACTGACTTAGGGAGGCTTTACTGATGCCGTCGCCTCCAGCTTTTACCAATGGCCCATACCCTTCCTATACCTTAATTCATGTCTACTGGAAGCCAAGTGGTAGGTGTTGGGCCAAGGATCAGAAAGGATACAGAAACGGTGGGTGACTGGTGCTGTGCCTGGGGTTTACAGCAGGGCGCAGGGGCCGCTTCGTCACAACTCATATGTGTCAAGTAAACAACTGATTCTATTTACCCCGGGGCTACATGTGTGTGACAAAACTCCTTGCGCAAAATTTTGTGATGTGCTTGCTGATATTAGTTAGGCTGCTGTGGGAGGAGTCAGCTGTCAGAAGCCCCTAAAGCGAGGTTCGATGAAGTTGCAAATGGTCAAGCTGGCCTCAAAAGAACTGTCCTGCGAAGATCGACTACAACATTGATAGTGCATACATGCCATTAGCTCGTCTTGATGGGCAGCGCACCCCGTACGAGTGGATGGTCCCAGGGGATCTTGCCATGCAGCACCTCGTCAGATTCAATGAAGTCCAAGACAAGTCCACTTTTGAAGCTGGTAGCCGTCCCGTGATCCGTCAGATAGTTCTTCACAAACTCAACTGAATAGAACCAGCGTGCCAACAGATAATCGCGCCAAGTCGCCCATGCTTGCAGCCGCGTCGACTGTGACGCCACAGCGTAGTCTCTTGCCACCGGCTCGCGCCTTTCCTCTTGGTATCTCTCCAGCGTGTTCAAAAACAACTTGTCGTCGAAGATGCCATGTCGAGTTTGCGCAGAAAGGACGCGAAGATGATTCACCAAGAAGACAACATCTTGGATACCCGCATTGAGTCCAAGCCCAGCGTTCGGGGTGAACCGATGGCACGCATCCCCTACGAGGGCTACTCGGCCGGCAAAACTCCACGTCTCGGCCGCAGCGACACCTTCTCGAAGGTTATTCATCCCGGAGACAAAACTTGGTTTATTGATGATGTCGCCGATTTTGAGCTTCTCATGAACGTGCCAATCGCTGAAGCTTTGCGCAAACGCGGTTGCATCTTCGGGGCTGTATGTGATCTTCTCTGCTGTTGTTACCGGGAGCTTTTCATACAAGAAAATCCAGGCCTTTTCTTTGCCTGTCAGGTACATGGCTGATCGATTGTGACCCTGTATCTCGTAACTCTCGCCAATGTCCGTCTCTCGCTTGAATGAACCCCACAAACATTTGTAAGTGGCCGGGAAAGTGTCCTCTGCGTTGCTTGTGATATGATCGGCAGAATCAAGTGCATCTTGGCCGCCCGCAGTCTGCGGAAGGTCGAGCCTGAGATCCCGTATGATGGTGCTAATCCTTGAGTGGACACCGTCAGCACCAATGATGAGGGACCCAGTGTACAACGATCCATCGTCACAGTGTGCAGTTGTGCCAGAAGGAGAGATGTCAATATCCGTGACTCTCTTATTGACAAAATACTGGGCTTTGGCTTCATCTGGCAGTGCGTCGAACAGTGCTCTCAACATGACGGCTCGATGGAAGATGATCAAGCCCGAGCCATGGCTATATCGCGTTAGACATCGAAGGGTCGCATGCCAATCGAAGACTCACTTGTCCCGTATTCTAGAAAGAGCATGCGTTCTCTTGAAGCTTTTGCGTGCTGGGTCGAAACTTTGAGAGAGATGAAGTAGTGGAGCGCCGTGATCGATAAGCTTGTCCAAGATGCCGAGCTGGCCAAACACCCTCAAATTTTGAGGAGTCAGAACAAGACTTGCTCCAGTGTCTGCAAAAATGTCTTGTCGTCTTTCTAGAATGATGAAGTCGATGCCAGCCCGATAGAGAGCGTGTGCAGCGACGATGCCACAGGGGCCGCCCCCGACAATGATGACTCTAAGTGGACTCATCGAAATGATGAATGACTGTGAAGTGGCCTTGAAACACGAGTAGGCGTGCTGGCACTACTTGCTTGTGATGCTTGGCCGAGTTATGAAGGACCTGGTCTTGCTCTTGTGAGAGCCATTATCACGATTGCGTTACATCCCTCACGGATGTCGCCATTCTGGTACAGGGGTCATACGAGTCAGCTTATTAGACCAACCTCGGCGAAGACTCACAATAACGTGCACATTGTACATCTGGACCATACTGGCATGGCCTTTTCTTTCCAACACGGATAAGGTGGAAAAAGATGTTGCCATAGTAGGTGCCTTTTGAAGTATCATAATAATTTACACGCTGAACATCATGTTACTACAGAAGAGCCCAGATTGCCCTGAACGGCATGTTCTCTACAGTAGGGCGAAACACAAAACGAGGGTCAAGTACGACTCCTCGTTACATATTCTACTTTATAACATGTATGTGCCTTGCTTCATGTGCACGATTGTATCCGCTAATGTCTGATCTGCCTGAGGTGATAATTAATTGGGAAGAGTATCACGATGGACAGGGGTTCCCAGCTTACATCGGAGCGATATATCCAATTATGTACTGGACTGGACACATTGTCAACCTGTCCGATGACGATTTCTTCGACAGATGTTGACTCCGTCGATATCTGGTGTCTCTTGCTGGCAATCTGATCCATCGTGCGGAAGAGTGCGTAGTGCGGCCTCCGCACACTATCGAAGAATTTGAGCGCGCAGTCTAGGCTGGAGCTGGGCAGAGGCCCATTCCAGAGCTTCAGGTAGAACATGGGCATATTTGAGAGCAAACGCGGCTTTCGCTTTGAAAGCGCTGGATAGAGGATGTGAGGCGTCTTGAAAGAGAACAACGTTTCCTCCACCAACAACAAAGTCCAGAGGATTGGCACAGAACTAGTCGTAGTGCTTTAGATTGGCGATCAAGGACAGAAGCTGCCACGCTGGTCCATATAACTCGTCAAATTTGCCACGGAGGACCACAAGGTCAACCTCGCGACCCCAGGTGGACCGCTCGCTAGCAGAGGAGCTCGTCGCTTGCGCCCGGTAGAAGTACTTACGCAGTTATCGAGCTATTCAACCCGTGCTATGCTGAAGCGGGAATAGGTGAACATGCCGAGTTATCCATTGTGCGGCTTATAGCTCGATAAGGTACTCTCGGGTCTCGCAAAATGGAGTCCACTAAGCACGACAAAAGCTCCCTTGGCCAGTTCGCTGAAGAACCCCATAGAAACATCCTTGGGCCCATGTTATTCGGTAAGGGCAATCTGGAAACGACTAAGAGGATGCCAACCTTGTGCTGTCGTTGAAAGCTACCTGGCGGGAGTGCCTCGATCCGGCCGCAAGTACACCATGGTGATCGGAGCCGCCAGCGGCATGGCCCCCTTCTTTGGCTTCACTGGCGTCAAGACGCAGGTTCAAAACGTGGGAATCAGCTGTGCCAGTACTACGTGGTCCGTGAAGAGATTTTCTTACCATCTACTGGCTGTGGCCAGCTTGCTGCATCAACGTACCTATACTGCAGCACTCTATATGCATACACGGTCGAGGTCTTGCCCTCGTCCCACCGAACGACGGGCAACGGGCTCGCAGTCTCGTGCAATCGCATCATGGGCATTGTTTCCGCCTTTGCAGCCTCGTCCGGAAGAACATCAACTGTAGTGCCTCTCTATGTGTGCTCAGCACTGTTCGGTTGACTTGATCCGATTGCAGCCGTGTTTCCCTTTGAGCCGTAGGGCCGACCAAGCTCTTGATGACAGTACTGCGACCCGGGGGTTGAACTATAAAGAATCAGTAGCTCTGCTCTAGGTGTTACGGAAAGGAACTACTCAGCACCAACCCGCCAGCTGAAAAGAAATGGAAGAAAAGGATGAAAGCCTTGGAAATTGAGTAGATATGTGGTCTGTGAGGTTCATGGGAAAGAGCTCCGCCAAGGCCAAGAGACTCATCATCATCAGTCTCTAGAATATTGGAAGCCACCATGCATGCCTGAATCCAACAAGGGCAAATCTCACAGCCTCGGACTTGGAAGTTGGGTTCGGAATGACTTTTGGTGGGAAAAATCTAATGATAGACTCAAGCTGAACTGGAATGCGGCTGCTGATCGTGGGTGACAAGTCTCAGCCACAGCACACCAACGGGCAAGAGCCAACTGACGGCGTCGATCACCGCCGGCCGGCAGTGCCTTCCCCCCACTCCCACACCTTCCCATGCTCCCACACGGTCCACACCTCCTCGTCTCGCCTCATCACGACTCCCCAAAGGTTGCACTCCGCCCCAACACCGCACAATTTCCTTACCAACTCACCGCTGCTAGACTCTCATCACGTTGTACAATCCTTTTCCTTCTTCTGAACTCTCGCTTGTCATCGCCAAGTAAGCACAGTCAGACCCAGACAAGACCGCCGCCACACACACCTCTGCCGCGCTTGCTTCCTGCGCCCTCATGGCCATATCATCACCGTGGCGGCTCTGGCTCGGGCTCGTCCCTTGCGGCCTTGCCATGCGCACCAACCAACATGCATCATGTATGCACGAGTGAGCAGCATCGCGAGTCGGCTCGCCAATTACTCTTGGACACAAAACTGACGACAGCCCAACAGCCGCTGCTTCCGCAGGCCGCCTCGCTTCCCAGCCAGCCAGGCAACCCGTTTCAACATTTCCTGCTTTTTGCTCGTCTAGTCCCAACTGTCTGGCTTTCGCCTCCACCAACCGACATATTGGATATGCACAAGCATTGGCTGCACCCTTCCCGTGGCCCCCTCCTGCGGCTCTCTTTCGTCTCTCTTTCGTGACCTCATCCCAAGCTGATCGCCTCCGCCCTCCCATCTGAGACCTCTACCACTGCGGCCCACGACCACCAGTATTCCTCATAACTCCCAACGGAAACGTCAAGCTGCCCTTTTGAGGGTCACATACCATCCTGACCCCTCTCATTCCACATCTCTGAAACGCCGACCCGACGATTTGGTTGCTCATCTCTCTGGCTCTATCCAGCGCAAGGCTCGCTCTGGCTGCAATTCGGCCAAATATTGCATGCCCACGCCATTGCCATGTCAGACAACCAGTATGACAAGGGCGGGCTGGGCCTCTCTTGTCCCGAAGGCGGCCACTTCTACATCTGTGAGGGGGATGCCACAGAGTTCATCGGATGCTGCAACTCAAACCCCTGCGGCGACAATGACGGCAACTGTCCTACAAGCGACCTCCGCGTCTCCTCCTTCTCGTCCAACCGCTACGCCAACATACCCGCCCAGAGCTGCGATGATGCCCGCGGGGCTCGCATCTGGTGGACGTGCCGGGACAACAAGCCGCCCTTCCTGGGCTGCTGCGCCAGCAACCCTTGCGGCGAGGGCTGCCCGCAGGATCACCTCATCGCCGCCGTCCTGTCGCCCAGCGATGACGACCGGCTGCCGTTCCTGCCGTCGCCAGCAACAACGACATCGGCTTCTACCCCGCCCGCCTCTTCATCGACTTCGAGCCCAAGCGGCGGGGCCGAGAGCGGCGGCTCGTCAAGGCTGTCGAGCGGTGCCATTGCCGGCATCGCGATCGGCGCCGCCGCAGGGATCGCTATCCTAGCCGTCGTCATCTGGGCTTGCTTTCGACGCGCATGGAAGAGTCGAGAGGAGGGCCACACGGAACAACACACGTTCAGCCCGGAAATGGCATCTCAAAGTCCGCCCTTTGATAAGACTCGACGTAGGTCCCATCGTATCTCGATTAGCTTTTTTGTCATCACAGTGGAAAAAAAAGAACATGCCAATACGGCTCGTGCTGACCTCTCCCAGAATCTCACCTCAGCTACGCAACAACAGCAATACCGCCCTCATACGACTCGACACCCGGCTCGCCAGAGGGACAGTTCCAGGATGCGCATCATATGCATTCGCCGACCTCGACGTCTCGGACCTACTCGCCCTATAGCCAGCACAAAGATGTCGAGCATACGCATTCGCGCCACATTAGTGTTGTATCCGGCGTGTCTGCCTTGTCTGGCGGCATCGAGTCGAATCTGAACACCGTGTCGGAGATTGACGGCATTGAGAGGCAGGCGCCCGTCGTTGAACTGCCGGCTGATGAAGCGCCGCCGAACACGCAGGTTTCGTCGTCGCCGTCGCCGCCGCTGGGGTCACCAGGGTGGCATTCGTCAAGGGGGGTGGAGGCGCCGGGGAGTCCGGGGCGGTGGACGACGAGGTAACATGACAACGATAACATGACAACGATAATGGAGCGGTGGATATTTAATTGCTTAGAATTGGGGGGAATTAGCTTGATACCAACTGTAATCACCCACCTGCCGTATGGCAGGTATTTTCATTCTTCCGAGGAGAACATGTGCGTCTCGCTTGTCCGATGGGTTCGGGAGGATGTCATTTCATTCATGTTTGGGGCATTTGACCTCGTCCTAGTACGTGTGCAACTTCCGAATCTGACGGCGCAAGCCACCCAGTAATTCTCTCTAGTTGCACCATCTTACAGCCTTCGTTCATGTCATTACTCATTTCGCCTCGTCGTCAAAGTTCGGCGAGTCGTAGATATCATCCGGATCTGCCTCCAATTAGTTCAGCGCTCACAGAGTGCGTGCATACGGCGAAGAAAGCTGACCTTTGCCCTCATTGTTGATAAAGTCCCGAATCGTCCCAACGCGGCCATCGATCTCCTTCAACAACCGGTCCAGGTCCGTCTTAACCTTGTCGTTGGATGCGGCCCCGCCGCGGAGCGCCCTCGCCGCGACGTCAAACCGACTGACGCAGTTGACGAGCATCATGTCAAACGGCGTCGTCGTGCTGCCCTCCTCGCGATAGCCCTCAATGCTGATGCGGTCCATGTTTGGCCGGCCGAAAAGCAGGCCCTGCAGCTCGGTGGCGTAGCCGTGGTAGTTGAAGCACACGGGCCTGTCGGCGGTGAACATGGCTATGAACTCGTCGCGCGTCAGGGAGTGCGGGTGGCGCGACTCGGCGACGAGGACCATAAGGTCCGTGACGTTGACGACGCGGATCTTGAGCGACGGGGCCAGCGTGCGCAGGAGTTCGGCGGCCTTGACGACTTCAAAGGTCACCTCGACGCCGATGCCGACGAGGACAACGTCGGGCTGGTCGCCCTTGGCGAGCGGGGTTGAGGCGAAAGGCCAGATGGAGGCGCCGGCCTGGCAATGCTTATCGGCGTCTTCGGGAGAGAGGAAGGTTGTAGTGGGCTGCTTGGAGCCGATCATTAGGTTTACGTAGTTTTTCGACTTCAGACAGTGGTGGACTGTGCTTAGGAAGCAGTTGGCGTCGGGGGGCAGATAGACCTGGGGTCTTGTTAGTGACGGTCCCAATGAATAAAGTCTTGGTGGCACTCGCTCTTGCGGCCTCGGCCTTGATGTTCAGGACGGCTCCGATGAACGAGGGGTTCTGGTGGGAGAAGCCGTTGTGCTCCTGGCGCGCCCAGGTGCTCGTTTCGATGTAGTTGATCGATGCTAGGTCGCCGCGCCAGTCGAGCGACTGAGCGATCTTGCTGAACTTGGCGTACTGAACCATCATCGTATGGACGATTCCTTTGAACGTATTAATAATACTTGAACGCAGAAATACGAGTGTTCACATACCTAAGAACGATTCATAGCTGGGAAACAGAGCGACTCGTCCTGTGAGCGTGTAGCCCTGCATGAAGCCCTGGCAGCAGTGCTCCGACAGAATCTCAATGACGCGCCCCCCCTTGTTTCTCGAAAACTCGTCCCACTGGAAGTTGCGCCCCGTATGCTCGAGAACAGCTCCAAACTTGTTGCTTTCCAGCTCATCGGGCGAGAACATGCGGAAGGTGTGCGGGTTGTCTTGGATGACTCGGTCAAGGAACTTGGCCGTCGCCTCCATCTCGCTGTTCTGGTGACCGCGTTCAACGCCAAATGACCTCCAGTCAGGAAGATCTAGGCCGATATAAGGCTCATGTGTTGGCTTGAACTGACCAAGTTTCTTCGCGTCCGTCTTGGGGAGAATGTCGAGGATGGTATGGTTCGGCTTTCCGTCGGTTAAGAGATCGTTGATCTTGTAGTGCGACAGCCACTCCTTGAGATTGCGGAGATGGCTCTCGTCCGTTTTGGCCTTCTTCAAAGGAACCTGGTGCGAGTTGAAAGATCCTTCGACAATCTTGCCGTCGACCTTTTTGGGTCCGCTCCAGCCCTGGAACTGTGAGCAAGTTGCGACTCTGATAAATCTTTGAGATGGGAGTTCCTACCTTCGGGGTCCTCATCACCAGCATGGGCCATCGGGGCTTAGAAATTGGCTCTCCAGACCGCGCAGCCTTTTGGATCTTCTTGATCTCAGAAAGCGCCCACACCAGTGCGTTTGCGAGGTCTTCGTTGATATTGGCGAGGTCCTGGACAATGTAGACCTGGTAGCCGTACCCACTGAACAGCGAAACAATCTCCTTGTCGTCCATGCAGCCAAAGATGGTGCGCTCGCTAATTTTGAAGCCGTTTACGTGGAGGATGGGGATGACGGCGCCAGACTCCTTTGGGTCGATGTACTTGATAGCGTGCCAGGCGCTGCTCAAGTTAGCTTTCACATTGCAAATCAATGTGGCCCCCGAGAAAAACTTACGCTGCAGTAGGTCCGCTCTCGGCCTCACCATCTCCCACCACGCAGGTAACAATCAGGTCAGGGTTGTCCATGACGGCACCAAAGGATACCCCCAGAGCATAGCCGAGCTCGCCGCCCTCGTGGATGGAACCGGGCGTCTCCGAATTGATGTGGCTGGGAAAGCCTCCAGGCACAGAAAACCCGCTGATGAGATTCGAGAGACCCTCCTTGTTGACGGGATATTGCTCGGGATAGAAACGCTCAAGGGAGCCCTCGAGCCAGAGAGAGGCCAGGGCGGCAGGCGCTCCATGGCCGGGACCGATGACATAAATCATCTCGAGATCGTGGTTGCGGATCAAGAGGTTGAGGTGTGACCAGACCAGAATGAGGCCGGGACACGTCCCCCAGTGACCTTGAGGTATCAGTACCATTTGAGGGAAAACGGCGGAAGGACCTTACCGAGGAGTCGTGGCTTGACATGGTCGAACGTGAGGTCTGACTCGAGGAGGGCATTGTCCTTCAGGAAGATCATAGCAGCCGCGATGTAGCAGGCGGCATTCTGGAAGTCTTCAAGCGATTGCGCTACATCTTTGTCAAGCGGCTTTCTCTGGATCTTGGCTGCAAGGTCAAGGACCTCGTCAGGCAGCTGTGAGGGCAGCGCCGATGGATTGGGACGGTCAATGACCTCTCCTGGCATTGTGAATCGCGATGATGTGGGCGACTGATTGTTGAAGGACTGATTGGCCACTTGCAATAAACGAACGCCTACCCAGTTTGTCTTGAAATTGTGTCTGTCAATGGTGAATTTCGGTAGATGGACCGGTGGCAGGGTGGGATTTGATGCTTGGGTGAATGATCTTCAAGAACACACTGCTGGTGAAATGGAGCAACACGGTTCTTCGGCATGGAGAAACGGCTTCCTCGGAAGCAAGATACCCAGTCAGGCAGGAACGGTCATGGTTCCAGTTGTTGATAATGAGGGGAGGTTGAACAGCGATGACGTCGATGTGGAGGGACAGAGAGCAGGCTGGAGGGGTTTTTTCGAGCTCTCACAGCCAGTCAGGACAAGCACGCTCTATACTCCGTGCTTAGCAGTCAAAGGTTGCAGGTGGAGGTCTGTCGACGAGATCGGGATGGAAAGGGAACCCCACAACGTGAGGGCCCTGTGCCCAGATGATCGAGCCATGACGGCGGTGGCCTGGTTGTGTGGGATGCACCTCAACCATGATCGTGGAGATGGTAGACAACGTGGGAAAGCTACAGGGAATGATGCAGCGGTGCCCCTCACTAAGCCTCGGTTGGACTAGCGCTGATGCGCGCTGGAGGTTCAGGCCCGCGCACCACTTAACGACTGTCCGTCCTAGGCAATAGGGTACCTTGATAACTCGGGCAGGATGCTCCTGCTGCATGGCAAATTGACTCGGTGTGCGTCGGTGTAGCTTCCTAGGTACATGAACACAGGGCGCGGTATGGAACCTTCGGACCAAACGCCCCGGGTCCGGCCCCTCTTCACTTGTCCACCCTCGACGAAATGCCATGCACACCATTGCAAACACCCATTCGTGACATCAGCATTGCGATCTCGATGCTCGACAGCCTACCATCCTGCAACTGCCGTGTCCCACGTTCGGATGACATAGTTTTCTGTCATTGGAAAGAGCCACATCTCCGTGTCGAATCACAATGTTGCTGTTACCAATCTCCACCCTCGAAGCATCGATGCCGCATCAAACGAGGCATGAGGATGCCTACTGGGACGCGGTCCCAGAGAATCATTGACGTCAACCTTGTGTCTGTCGTTCTCTGTGACACTTCTCAGGCTGTCCATTTAATCGCGCCGCTGCTCCTGCCGAACCAAGGTGGTGCCGTATAGCTCAGCCTCTGCAGAATCAGTTCTTCCACGCACTACTTAGTCCAGGCAACTCCTTCCTTCGGTCAGACTTGGCATATCAGAATGGCTCACGCTTCTCAACCTGCTCTCTCCGAAGGCCTCAAGAGGGTACAAGAATCCATCATGGCATCCGCACACACCGCCACTGGTGGTTCCAACAGCACCAGCAACCCCAAGATCGCCCAGCTTGAGGAGCACTCCAAGACGCCCGACCAGGACTCGCGGCTCACAACCGACTACGGCGTCAAGCAGAACAACACAGATGATTGGCTCCGTATTGCTAGCGACGACCATACTGGTCCGGGACTGCTCGAGGATAACGCTTCTCGTGAGAAGGTTAGTTGAGTTTGCTTTCCCAGGTCACTCCCACAGCGGACGTTAACCTCTGGCTAGATCCACCGATTCGATCACGAGAGGATCCCAGAGAGAGTTGTTCACGCAAGGGGTGCGGGCGCACACGGTGTCTTTCGCCTGAAGGAGGCCATCCCTGAACTCACCCACGCCGGATTCCTTACCGACACGTCGCGCGAGACACCCATCTTTGTCCGCTTCTCTACAGTCCTCGGTAGCCGCGGCAGTGCCGACACTGTTCGTGATGTTCGAGGATTTGCCATCAAATTTTATACACAAGAAGGCAACCATGATATTGTTGGAAACAACATCCCTGTCTTCTTTATCCAAGGTTTGTGATTTCTTCTTCATCGCAGCTCAGGGATCAAAGCTAATGGGACTTCCACAGACGCCATCAAATTCACCGATGTCATCCATGCAAGCAAGCCCGAGCCTGACAATGAGGTCCCTCAAGCTCAGTCCGCCCACAACAACCACTGGGATTTTGTTGCACTGTAAGTTTATCCCTTCTAGATGGTCCCATAGTTCAAGGCTGACAGACGCCAGGCACACCGAGGCAACCCACATGTCGCAGTGGACCATGAGCGACCGCTCGATTCCTCGTTCATACCGCATGATGCAGGGATTTGGCGTCAACACCTACACCCTCATCAACGACAAGGGAGAGCGCCACTTTGTCAAGTTCCACTGGACACCTGAGCTTGGCGTCCACTCGCTCGTGTGGGACGAGGCCCTCAAGTTGGCCGGCCAGGACCCCGACTTCCACCGGAAGGACCTCATGGAGGCCATTGAGAATGGCGCGTACCCGAGGTGGAAGTTTGGTATTCAGGTGCTGCCCGAGTCGAGAGAGCACGATTTTGACTTCGATATCCTCGATGCCACGAAGGTCTGGCCCGAAGATGATGTGCCCATTCGCTACATCGGAGAGCTCGAGCTCAACCGTAATGTCGACGAGTACTTCCCCGAGACTGAGCAGGTCGCCTTCGCCACTGGCCATGCTGTTCCTGGCATTGGCTTCTCCGATGACCCCCTTCTGCAAGGCCGAAACTTCTCCTACTTTGACACCCAGCTCTCGCGCCTTGGCGTGAACTGGCAGGAGCTTCCCATCAACAAGGCTGTCTGCCCCGTCATGAGCAACAACAGGGATGGCGCAATGCGTCATACCATCACCAAGGGCAAGGCTAACTACTGGCCCAACCGCTTCGAAGCGAACCCTCCAGCGGCCAAGGCTGAGGGTGCGTACATTGAGTACCAGCAGAAGGTAGCCGGCATCAAGGCGCGCACCAAGAGCGCCAAGTTTAAGGAGCACTACAATCAGGCTCAGTTGTTTTACAACAGCATGTCTCAAGTGGAGAAGAACCACATGGTCGCTGCCTTCTCCTTCGAGCTCGACCACTGCGATGATCCCATTGTCTACGAACGATACACTCAGCGCCTTGCCGACATTGATCTTGGCCTCGCTCAAGCCGTCGCCGAGCAGGTTGGCGGACCTATTCCCCAGAAGGCCGGCCGTCCGAACCACGGCAAGAAGGCCAGTGGCCTCAGCCAGTTTGATTACATGCCGTCGACGCCAACAATCGCCTCGCGCCGCGTCGCCATCATCATCGCCGACGGTTACGATGCCACAGCCTTCAACGCCGCCAAGGCCGCCGTCACAGCTGCATCGGCACTGCCCTTCGTCATCGGTACCCGCCGCTCTGAGATCTACCCTGCTGGTGCCGAAAAGAAGCCCGGCAACGGCGTGGTGCCGGCGCACCACCTTGAGGGCCAGCGGTCGACCATGTTCGACGCCGTCTTCATTCCCGGCGGTGAGGAGTCATTCAGAACTCTGCGCAAGAGCGGTCGTGCCATGCACTGGATCCGCGAGGCGTTTGGGCATCTCAAGGCCATCGCTGCCACGGGCGAGGCCGTCGAGCTCGTCAATGCTGCCATTGCGCTGCCGGAGATCAAGGTCTCGCAGGGTGGAGTTGAGGAGAACTACGGCGTCATCACACTCAAGGACGTCAAGTCTGACAGTCTCAAAGAGAAGGTTGAGATTGCGAAGGATGGTGCTGGATTCCTCGAGCAGTTCTTCTATGCCATTTCGCAGCATCGTGCTTGGGCACGTGAGCTCGATGGACTCAATGTCCAGGTAGCCTACTAGATAACGGTTGGAGTGACTTTCCTAATACCCCAGATTTTCAAAGTGTCTGACGTTTGTCAGAGAGGTTTGCCTGATATGATATTCGTGACGGTACCGATTCTCCAGTACAGGCATTGTATATGTTCCGTGAAGTATTCAAGAGATGAGTTGAAGGGTATCTGATCATTCGCACCATACACAAGACTGCTCGTCAACTGTAAAGACTCCGTTCCCCAGCGCTAAAATCTCAAATGCTTCGTGTGTTTCGTCCTAGCCGTTATTCATGTCGTCCATATTGTAATGCATAGGCATGACCGTCATGCCATCTCCATATAGCACATTTGTATCATGCATCTGAAGTGACCCGTGCTGTTGCGAATGCTGCTGCTGCTGCTGCTGCTGCTGCTGCTGCTGTGGGTTTGTGCCAGGTTGCTGCCCCCAGAACATACCGTCGAGATCCCACATCCAATCCTGTTCCATGAAAGCAGCGACCTCCATATCCGTGTCAAGCCGAATGGGAGACATGCGGAAGTCAAAGTCCTCCGCCGTCTGTCCCATTCCACCCGTTGTTCCGTATAAGCTACTCACGTCGCCCTGAGCCACGGTGTCGGTGCCGATCAATCTAGCCGCTGCCGTCAGGGACGGCTGAACCTCTTCATTCTGGCAACTCGCTTCATATACGCGCCTCACAACCTCTCGGCTTCGACACGCTGTCAGCGACCAGTCACCGACGGCGTCGAGGATCTCGAGTGTCGTCTCGATCTGGCTTCTCCACGTCCCCGCCTCTGGGTTGCCCGGCTGCCAGCACAGCCGCAGCAGCGGGATCATGGCAGCCTGGTACAAGAACCAAGCAGCGTTCCAGCCCAGCATCTGGTTCCGCGTCCACTCCTTCGCGATGTCCTCGATCGTCTGCGCCGCCATGTCAGAGCACGTGCTGATCGACGCGAGGATCTCCTCGTCGTTGAGCACGCCCGACCCAGGCGACGTCCCTGCGTCGGCGGACGACGACACGGACGACGGCGCGTGCGAGGCGCGCCGGTGCGACCGCGCCGGCACCGGCCGCTGCTGGCTCGCGGCCCAGGTGAGGAGCACGGGCCGGTGAAGCAGCATCCTGAGGTTCTGGTAGCGCCACTTCATGACGCAGCGGGCAATGTACAGCGGCTCGGCGCAGGGCTGCGTCGTGCCGAGAAGCCAGGGCAGGCTCTCGTACCAGGTCACGAGCTGCGTGTCCATGCTCTGGCGGTCGTCGGTCGAGGGCAGCGAGCTCGCGGCGAGGGTGTCCTGGATCTGCGTGGCGATTCGGCAGAACTTGATGTTTTCGATCATGGGGAGCACGCCGGCATGCTGTGCTGACTCGGCGGCCTTTTTGAAGCGATGCCCATCAGCAAACAAAAAAAAAATGACATGGCGCAGGGATGAATGATTAGTACGAGGCGGCATACCTGACTGATGCCCAGCTCGGGAGGCCGGATGTTGATTCCAGGCCCCCGGCGGCCAAAGGAGGGACGGCCCATAGTCGTCGTCGCCCATGTGTCAAGGCAGAACAGGGACCACCATGTCCTCCTCCTGATCTCGGCGGCAAGTACGTCTGTTTCTGACAGGCCCTGCGCGAGGGATTCTCGGTGGAGGCCCAGTGCACTCGCCATGCGGACGGCGGCTCCGAGAATCGCGTTGGCCATGTTGGGGCGGTTGATATAATGCAGATAAAATCCTCCGATAATGGCCAGAGCCTGGACCGTCTCGACGCGGCTGGATCCGAAAGAATCAATGGTGAGGTGAGCCATGGCCTGCTGGTACAGCTGTTCGTGATGGAGGTCGCTCGACTTGGTGGCCGCGATGCTGCCCATGGCCAGCACAGCATGCAGCAGGGCCAGCCACGGCGAGTCGACGCGCTGACCAAGGGAGTAGTCGGCGCGGAAGCTTGCCTCGTCGAGCATGGGAATGAAGGCGTGAACCCGCTTGAAGTAGGCGTCGACAAAGGTCTGTCCGCGCCACGTCCACGGGACCTTTGCTGCTGGTTTTGACTCGACGGCTGAGGCGCGGCGCATGGCTTCGGGTTGAACGGCGATGGCACCTGTGGCAGCCGCCATGTTGCGAGGCGTGGCGAGGGCATTTCTGAGCTGCGGTTTGAGCTTGAGCATCACCATGAGAACCGCCTTGACGGACGAGGCCCCCAGGTACGATGCGCGCTTGTCCATTGTCAGTGACAGGGCGTTGACGTCGTCCGACTCGACGGGGATGGGCTCGTGTTCGCGTCGCTCTTCATCCCATTCCGAGTCCTTGGTCGGCATCTGCTCAAGCTCGGCAGCACCAGGCTCTAACTCCTGGTCGAGTGATTCCTCGTCATCCTCTAGCGGTGAGGGATTGGCAGGCGGAGATGGCAGCGCCGCCTCGTCATGAGGTTTCGTCGGATGTCGCAACAGTTCCAAGAGCTCTTCTCGCGTCAGTGGTAGAAGCTCAAAAATTTCCTGGTTCGGGAAGAGACGATTGATGACGGATCGGCATTCTTCCAGTGACTGTGACAGATTCTCAAGAACTCTGCGACAGGCTCGTGTCAGCAACTGCGGGGCGCCACGATCGACAATAGACGACCCGCTCAGTAAGATTTGGAGGGGGATCACATACTTCCTCGATGGCACGACTCGGGGTCGGTGCTTGTCGTAGAAGCACTTCTTGGGCACCCGTGTCGAGATACACTGTCGGCACGGGTGCTGTCCGTCGCAGCGAATCTTCCGCCGCTTGCATTCGGCGCAGGCTTTGGAGACCTTGACTGTCTTGGTGTCTGAGGCATCAAGACCGCCCAACTGGCTGGCTGACGCAGGCTGAAGACCTCCCTCGACCTGAACTGCGTGTGGATCTGTGTCAGAGGAACGAGACTCAAATCGAAGGGCATTTAAAGCCTACAGTTGTGATACATGTCGTCGCCGTTTTGTCACAAGTGGAGATATCGTATCATGAATGACGAAGTTACAATGGCTGAGTGAAGCGTCCAAAGGGAAGGCGAACGACCGAATGAGGGCTCCCAACTGAGCTGACTTGAGAGTTGAAAACCAAAAGATGAGACTGAAAAGGACGTATCAGGGCAGTGTCCCCATCTTTTGCAGGGGGAGGTGGCTCGGTCGAAGGGGAGTCGAGTGCTTCACATGACGCTGAGAGTCGGTCTCAAAGATGAAGAAAAGGAGGGGGAAGATGGGGGAAGATCTGTGTACCACACCAGGGGACAAGCGCGTCGAATGACTTTATTCGACAGTGTCTGCTAGGTCCCTGGCCTCCTCTCTAGCTCTGGTTCGGCATAACTTTGAAAATTGAGGGGTGACGGTGGGGAATCTGGGGTACATGAGAGATGGTACGGTTCGGATAGCCGACAACCCCTGAGGTGCGGAGAAGATGGCAGCGATGCGTCCCGCTGGTCGAGCTTTGTTTCCGTCGTGAGGGGAAGCCTGGCAGTGGCCTCGTGTGAAGAATTGAGAACCCTGAACTGCAGCCACAAACCGTTGTCGAGAAACCTTGCATGCTTCCGCCGAGGAGCCTCGGGGGTGTGTGCCTCGGACTAAGCCGCCTAGAGCGGAGATGATGCGGCAGAGGTTCAGTCCTGCAGACTTAGCCTCCTCTCAAGACTCGTCACCTGAGCAGAATAAGCCCACGCCGTCCAAAATCGCGAGGCCCGCGTCGCCGATGCACAACTCCAAAAGAACCAGCCTTTACCCTGCATGCAGGCTGCACGGGAGGCGGCTGGTTGGCAACGGAGCTTGGCCTAGCATAAGACGCTAAGCCTATACCGAGTACGGATATGCTCTCTCCGCTGTCTCAACAAGGTAAGACGCCAAAAGATGTGCCACCATGTTGGGTCGATAAATAATGCGGCGGCAAATCTGACGACAACCTTCGGGCGAGGTGGCATGATGCCTGGTTTGGTTTGCCTCTTCGCGTCGTCGTTCCGACGTTTGTTTGTTGCCCAGAAGGGTGTGCAAGATTCTACATGCGAACATTTCTCTCCTCTTTGACAAAGACTCAGTCTCATTGCTGGTAAAACAGTCATGCTCAGAAACACCGAGGACCCAAAGGACAAGGTCGTTCTGGCTGGAATCTCCACGCTCTGCTGTGGAGTCGACCAAATAAACGGCGTGCGAAGCGCGAAGTTTCCTTGAACTAGGTACTCGGCGCGGCTCCCGCAACCTGGACGCCCGGATCAAAGTGACCCTTGAGCGGGCTCACTTTTGGTGCTAGAGAACGAAATTACAGAAGGCCATGGTCCTGTTGCCTGCGGTTGAGCCACATAATCGGCACAACTACAAGCGGTCTTTTCACAGCAGCTCCAGAATGTTCTATCATTCGTTGATCGCAGAACACAGTAGTGATCGAAGGACGAGAGAAGAGGCTCTCAACTTTCCTGCTACACCCAGCTATATTACTAGCAATGCGTCTAGTTGTTACCGGTTTTGATCCTACAGTCTTTGTCCCTCCAAGCTCAACAGCTCCCATTTCCAATCTGCTATGGACTCTATAGCTTCCGAGATACAGAATGGAAGTCAATCATGTCCGGATTCCTTGCGGACTCACCCCTGCCTTCACTGACTGCCCGCAATTCTGTGCAGTCTGTCGTGCAGCACTGACTCAGAATACGGCCTTCCAACCCCAATACGATCTACAAAGCGACTACCGGAGTTTGGCGCCACCTTCTTCGTACATTTGCCATCTCTTCACGATGACAGGCCCGGCGTCGCCTGCTTTACGGACTGCCGCCGGCGCCGGGGGAGCTGTCTGCGGATTGGAAGATGTGTTGGGAATCGTCTCCCAAACTCTGTCCCTGCGGAAGAGATTGCCCAGTCTGCCGCTAACGGGTTCATGGCGTGTTCGAAGAGGATCATGTTTCGGAAGACTCGCTGAGTCGCTGTAGGCACCTCTGAAGGGCATTGGTATCAAATGTCTTTGCGTTTCGGAAGGCAAATTTGCCCTGTCCTGGGGAGCTTCATCAGGGTGAGTCGTGGCTTCCTGGTTGGCCGACTTGCGGACTTGATCGCATGCCGCGAAAGCACTTTGGCCTCCGACTGCACGCGCAGAGGGAACATCTCGCGAAGCAGCATGACCTTTCGGGACAGCCTCGATGCGACTATTCGAAGAGGCCCCTGCAGCCCCCGTTGTGTTTTGGTTCTCTTTGTTGACCGAACCCTGCCTCAGACGACCTTTGCTGGTGTAAATAGGTGTGCTGGTCCTCGATCGCTCTTCTGAGCTCATCCTGCCGAACTCCTCATCCCTGATGCTGAGATGGTCCAGAGAAATGCGCTCCCGATGTTCGAGACAAGCGTCAGCGCCGCGTACCCTCTCCGGCACCTGTTCCTCGCTTACGGCGACTGGCTGGCCAAAGAGAGCGACCCCGGTACGGCTCAGAAAGTTGGACATTTCGACACCGACGACGCCAATCTTGGTGGGCATGTCCATGGTGAGCCAGCCTCGAAAGCCGCCGTATCCACCACCTGTGTTGCTGCCGTCTTCGTCGGGAGAAAGTTCGAACCCGTGGCTGCTGTTTCCAGGGATGACGGCCGGCATACGACTGCGAACGCGGCTCCAGCACTTTAAAAAGGCGAGGATGAAGCCAATGACGAGAACGCTGACGCCAGTCCCAACGGCGAGGGTGGCGGGGAGGAAATGGGGTTGGGAGCTGTAAATGAGGCCGACGACGCAATAAATAGCAATGGCAATCGAGAAGAGAAAAACGGACGCGATAATGAGGTACTTCAGACGAGACTGTCGAGGGGTAGGATCTTCGACACCTTGATAACGAGGTGAGAGCGTCGCAGGGACAATGACAAACTGACTGGGCATTGTCGATGGCGTTGTGAGTGGGAGCAATGAAGTTGGAAGGGAGGTTGACGATGATGCAGTGCGAGGGCAGGCGTCAATGTTGTGGTTATCATATAGGAGACGCCAGCTGCGACTGAACAGGAGATTCAAAATTTTGGGACTACTCCGGAACTTCTTGACGTGCTCGTCAGCTTATTCACGGACAAGTATTGTTGGGTGGTCTACGCATTGCTGCCCCAGGCGTGCAACAACAGTCCGACACGTGTAAGTCAGTCAAGAAACACACAAAGGCAGCGGCAGGCCCGATATTTTCAACAAACTAAACTCTCAAGTCGTTTGGTTTCCCGAACGCCACTTATTCCTGGGTAAGGAGAGTGAGTGGACTGACTATGCAGAGGAGAGACTGAGAAGTCGAGATGTGACAACTCTGGAGTAGGCGTATGAATTACGTCGTGGAAAATGAAAATTGCAGCAACGAAGTAGCAACATCATCTATCAATATCAGAGCTAGAATCGGTTCAAAGACTTACTAGACAACGTCTGGAAGAACCGGAAATGTTGGTCATCATCTTGTCATTTCTTCCATGTCCATCAGCAGAAAGTCACCCATTCCCAGCTCACCGATGCTGATTAGGTATGGGTGGACATTTCCAATGAATGTTTTGCATCAGAATGGGACTTGTCTGCACTGACTAGACCATTAACCATCGCAGGACTCCGGTGTGCGTGCTTTCTGGCAGTACACGCCTCAAAAGAAACTTTCGCGATCTGTGCTCACCGAGCTGGGCACACCGAGATGCTGGCGACAGTACCCCCGCACCAACCCTACAGCCTGCCTCTTGCAGCGCCTCCAGCGCAGACAAACGCGACGGTGTTAGGCACTGCGTACCACCTCTGCCCCTCCCCACCATCACATCAAATTCTGCCCCACGTCGCAACCTGATCGTTGTCGTTTTGACCCATTTGATCGCACTCACAACCTCCAACCTGTTTGCGCTCATCACGCTTGATCAAAGGCGAGGTCGCGATCTGTCGCCCGGGAGCTCTCATTCGAACTCATCTAAAACCCCCCAAGTCAGCCATCATGGTCTACTACTTCACGTCCAACGTTGTCGAGCCCTCAGCCCGCATCTACGTCGGTAAGGACAAGTTTGAGAGTGCGTGACGATGCCCTCACCCTGCCGACACGGACTAGGTTGGCCGGTAAACATGAGCCAAGACTGATGCCAGACTCTCCCAGACGAGGATCTCATCAAGTATGGCTGGGAGGAGGACGTGTGGTGAGTTTCGCCCAGACCGATCCCTACCGCGGCCGCAAACCCCGCTGACCTTTCCAGGGTATGTCTCTCGCACCGAGAGAAGGGCCACATGTCATCACGCGTTTCTCGCTGACATGGCCAGTTCCACGCCGACAAGCTGTCGAGCGCCCATATTTACCTCCGCCTGCGTGAAGGCGAGAAATGGGACAGCATCCCCCAGCCTCTCCTCGACGACCTCGCCCAGCTCACCAAGGCCAACTCCATCGAGGGTGCGTAGCCTTTTCCACTCATCGATGCCCGCCATGCCTGGAATCAACATCGCTTACTCGGCCGCAGGCAACAAGAAGGACAACGTGACGGTCATCTACACCCCGTGGTCCAACCTGAAGAAAGACGGCAGCATGGCCACGGGCCAAGTCTCCTTCAAGGATCCCCGCAAGGTCTGTCCTCCCGCCGTCCACAACCTCCTCAATCCAACACGACTACACCCCGAAGAGAGGGGCGGGACTGACAGGTCCTCAGGTCAAGCGCATCCTCGTCCCCCAGCGCGAGAATCCCATCGTCAACCGCCTCAACAAGACCAAGGTGGAGGCGAAGCCCGACTTTGCCCAGGAGCGCGAGGACCGCCTCAAGGAGCTCCGCCAACGCGACCAGGCCGCCATGCTCCTGCGCCGCAAGGAGGAGGCGCGCGTCGCGCTGGAGCGCAAGGAGAAGAAGTATCAAAAGGACCACGCGTACGACGATCTGTTTACCGAAGATGCACTGGAGGGCTCGAGCAACCAAAACAGGGATGCCGACTGGGAGGATGACTTCATGTAACTGCCACGGTTGATCAAAGTGAAAAACTGACACAAAAAAAAAAAGTAAAAGAAAGAAAAAGGACGTGGTATTTTCGAGATTAAAACTAAGATCGCTTCGTTTGACTTCATCCTCGACACAACAAATTGGAAAAGGGGGAGGGGGTATCCATCACTCCGTCATCAACATTCGCAGCCGTGGCCTGCGCGCCACGTAGGCGACGGCGACTGCGGCGCCAAGTCAGCTGCACATCCCGACGCCTAATCGCCCGCCGCCAATCCCTACCGACTCCATAGCCTTCGTCACGTCACCCGTTGACGCGTCGGCAGCTTTATCGTAACCCGCTCTTCCTTTCTCGCTGTGCGCCACGCGGCCCTTGTCGCCGTGTCCCTTACGAGCCGCCTGCGAGCGCGCCAGCATGGGTGCCTCGTCCTCGTCCTCCCCCAGAAGATCGCCTAGGTCTTCATCATCGCAAGGGTCTAGAAAGGGTGAGCTTCCCAGTTCGTCGCCGTCGCCGTACTGCGCGAAACGCTCCTCGGCATTCATGATTCGCACAATTGGCTCACCGCCAGGTAGTCGAACAGTTTCTGCGCCGAGCGTCTCGGCAATGTCAAGAAGCAGCACATCCATGGGGCAGATGTACGCCACCATCTTGCGCTGACTCCAGGCCAGCACGTGGCCACACACGCGCCCCATCTCGCGATCCATGATCCACGCGCCTGAGTCGCCCGGGATGCCCATGCTCGGCGATGCCATCCCGCTGGTGACTTGGTACGAGTGGCTGGGCGATTGGCGACCGTAGATCCTAATGCTGACCATGGCTGGCAAGATCCGGCCCGACTGCAGACCACTTGTGCGCGCGATACACTGAACCTCTAGACCAGGCAGAGCGGAGGACGGCGTCACGTCCATCGGACGCATGAAATTATCCCCAGTTGGCGCTGCAGCGCTCTTCTTGGTTGTCTTTTTGAAGTGAGGGATAGTGTTGTCGTCGGGTAGCCTCTCTCGATGAAATTCAAACAGCGCCCAGTCGATCTCATGAACGAGTCCGTCCTGCTCACGGCGCCGTATCCCGCTCGACGCGTAGACCTCTCCGAGGCTATACGAGTCGAGGTGGTCTTCGTCAGCTGTCTCTGCGCAAGGGTAGAAGTCGTCGTCGACGTCGTCCATGGCCGGCTGCGTCACGACGTATCCCTCTCCGCAACCAGGCTCAACGCCGGGAATATCGCCAGGCTGGCCGTACTCTCCGTCGTCGCTCTCGGACTCGTCATCCGAAGTGTCGCTGGTGATGTCCGTCTCGGATGCTTCCGAGTCGCTGTCCGAAAACTCGCAAGCGATGTCCTCAGATCCACTGTCATCGGCAGAGTCAGCATAGAAGTTCTGGAGAGACATGTCGTCTGGTCTCGCCATACTTCTGTGGGTTGACTCGGCAGGGTCTTTCTGAGGCGCTCGGTCCTGGTCTGGATCATCGAGCATGTGGTGCACTGTCATGCCGTACGGCTTGTCGTCCACGATGACGAGTCCGCCGAAACTAACAGGAGGCAGGTGACGGTCGCCGATCCAGGCGCCAATGCTGGCCCCGTTATTTGGGCACTCTTGATAGCTAGGATTGGCGGGCTTCGTTTCTCCGCCGTCACTACCTTCTCCGGTCATGCTACGCTTTGGATCGCCCGCTTGCTTTCGGGACAGCACAATCTGGCCCTTGCAGACCTTAAGGCCGAACTCATTGCCAGCCTCAAATATCTCGCCGAGCTTGCGTTTGAGGATCGCCTTGACCTTGCTGACGGAGGTGCAAACGACGAGGACGGTAGGTTTGGCTTTCTGAGGCGAGACGCCGATAGACTCGAGGGAGATTTCAACAGTTTCAGGATACTTGCGATAGAAATGACGCAAGGCCTGGTTGACCTGCGGCATGACGGTCGTGTGCCACTTTTCAATGGCATCAGGGGAGAGGGGCACGTTAGGGTACAAGCGCTGCTTGGAAGGCTTGACCGAGGATTGCTCGACTGTCGAAATCTCAAAATGTGAACTTTGGAGTGCATGGGGAGAAGGGTTCTTACGTTCAGCGTCGCGCTTCGCAAGAAGAGCTTTCTCGGATTCCATGGCAGGCACTGGTGCCGAAACGGGAACACGAGCGATCGGGACCTTCATCTCATCCGACGCCGTCTGGCGGGGCTGAATCTGGGTGGCCGGGCCTGCTTGGGAAGCCTGCGTCAAGATTGAGGATTTCGTGTCACCGAGGTCCCGACCAAGACGCTCATCCAGGCCGCTGACGCCGTCCAAGATACAGCATGCCTCCAGGTAACGGCTTGCCTTGACTTGAACATTGGCCAGGAGCTCTTCGCCAACGACCTTGCCGGCGAGTTCCTGATCAACAGCATCCCAACAAACCTGCACGGCCTTCACATAGAGGGTGCCGCAGCGAATGGCAAGCTGTTCGAGGATGGATTCCGGAATGGAGGGCGACAGCGGGTCCGGCACCAGGTATTCCAGGCGTGTCCACAATCCGATGGACGTCAAAGTCATGGCCAGTGAGTACAGGTCGAGAATCCTCGAGTCCGTCCGGTCAGTGATTGGACCAGCAGGTGCCGTGCGCGGGTCCAGAGGGTGGCGATAGAGTTGGATGAAGGGAACTTCCTCATGGTCAGATGGCGCATCCGGAAAGAGATCAAATGAAGAAATCAAAGGGCGGCGAATGTCGACCTCATCACTTGTCAAGTCAGGTCTGTCGGGATTATGCGTGTTACAGAACGTGACGTTGCGGTCAAGGATGTTTCCGTGGGTGATGCCGCGCGCGTGAAGGTCGAAGACGGTATTGGCGAGGTTGTTGGCCAGGCGGAACTTGGCCTCCAGCCTGGGTTCGAAGTCCGGGCGCATCAGTAAATCGTTCAGTGTGCACAGGTTGTCCACGGGGTTACGGGTGTTGCTGTCCTGGCGGATGGCGTTGAAGGTGGGCGGAAACTG